TTTTTTTAATTCTGTCTCTCAGAGTGGGAATGCACCTACAATGTGAATTTCAGACCCCTCCATGATTTCTAAGTGGGAGAACTTGCAAAATCGCAGGGTGTTCAAATACTTCTGTTCCTCCATGTAAATGTACTGGAAAAGCAGAAATACATTCCAATGATGAAACGATCATAGTTTCACCATGTTCACGTTCACAAACTACCTGGTTAGGTTTAGCAACATACTCTACTTGTTAGGTTAAATTAACCATTATTAAGTATTTTATATATTTTATTTTAAGATTTAATCAAAATCTGTGAATCAAACCACTAGTTAGTTCTGATGTGTTTTCTACTACAACATTATATATATTATTGCTACACTGTTAGTTCATTAGTGCTTGGAAATCAGCCCTGAAAGATGGACCAGCATGTGTGCACTCACAACACCCCTGTGGAACACAAGCATCAGTGGTACTCCACATCTGGATGTGAACTTTATGTACTTTCTCTTTTTCATGCACATTCGTCTGTGTTGTGGTTAGGATAACCAATAGGAAGGCTAGCAACACATCTGTAGGCCCCCTTAATGGACAAGTTCCTTGCCTTGCTGTGAACGGGACAAGTGATGCACTGATAAAAACCACTCCGTGTATTTTTACAGTTATTATGATTTTTATATGAGACAAGCAGCGGGAAGTGAGTGCTTTGAATTCACAGTAACAACACTGCTGTGGATGCAGGAGAGCCTTCTGATTGGTGCTGATCTGACAGGTAGATTGTGATTGATAGGTTACCGACCCCTGATTTATGGTGAAAAAAATTAAAATGGTGTCTTTAACTTTTTGGGTGCTGTCACAAAGGATCTTCTTGTAAGGCCATTATTTTCCTGATTATATTAATTAGGTCAAATATTTGAATTACTGCATGTGGTGAAGGCACGCATAGTGTGATCCACATAGTGTAACCATGAGAACATCCCACAGCTTAACACGGAGCCTCACCCCATATCGCTGCAAAGTGTGTCTGCGTTTCTTCATTTTTAAAACCTACCAAAATATACAAACTAAGTAATTTGATATCATTCTTAGAGCTGAGATGTTTGCTGTCCTTTGTGTCTGTAGTTGGAGGATGAGGATGAACCATTTGTGCTGGAGGACACCAGCATACTAAACACAGACAGCATGGATGCTCACTCCTGTGATACGTCCTCTCTGGCCAGCTCTGACAGTGGAGACCCAGCACACCTGAAACGGCAAGAACACACACACACAGCTTACTGTAGTTGTTAACCCACAGATGGCTCTTTGAAGTTGTGCAGACCAGCAAAATTACCTTACAACCAATGAACTTCAGTAGTTTAACAGAGGGGTCCCCTGAGGTGCTGTAACTCGACTTTAAACATTTCTTAAACTTAAACTGGGGATGAAAGATAACACCAAGATTTGTGGAGATCATATTGAGTTTGAGGCTAAAGGACCCCTGTATGCTTTAAACTGTCAGCGGACCAATTTGGTTCAAAGACTAGGATTTCAGTTTTACATTGATTTAGCTGGAGAGAACTGTAAGACACTGATCTTATTAATACACTCTTGTAAAATGGACAAGTTTGAGAGTTCACCAGGTTTCACAAATACAAATGCAGCCACTCTGAATTACCGCTCCCAGCTGAAAGTCATTCAGCTGGCTTCTAGTTCCCAGCAGGTTTCCAGCAGACCCCTTGCCCTGTTTCCAAGATAAGATGTGTCTAAATTCCACATTAAACAAATTCTTTAGGGCTATTCCCTCATTTACATAGTGTTACTCTTGATTTCTCCTCACTGGCTGTCCAACAAATTCAGAATTCAAGATTTTTGTGATTACAGTGGTCAGCATGGTCAGAAATAAAGCATTTTTGATTAAATTAATTACATTCAATTTAAAATATTGCATGGAAACTAAATACAATTGAAAAGACTAACTTACTTGAAAAAAGAAGTACATACCATATGTAAAATATTTTAGTTTGAAATAGAACAGAATTGCATGTGTAGGTCATTTTAATATATGTTACTGAAAAACTTGGTTTATGCATGTGAACACTGCCATGTGACACTGATATAAAAATTGTTCAAAGCTGGACAAATTTGTACGGTGGGCTTTTTTCTGGACTACAGCAACTGCAGTAACCAAAGCAGCACAAACACTTGCCACTACAAAGGCACATCCTAACCCTAAGATAGTCCGGTGAAGAAGTGACCACCACCATCCAAACAAACACACTCACTGTAATTTAATTTCAATCCAAATCTCATTGTCTTTGCATGTACAATAATCAAACTTTCTTCTCTTTTGTGTGTGTGTGTGTGTGTGTGTGTGCACATACATACGTGAAGAAAGAGGAGGACAGTAGATGTGAATGCAACAGTTCATGGGTCTGTTCTTCGACACAGTCTGCTGAAGGGCATCTCTGCCCAGATAGTCTCCGCTGCGGTAAGACTAACACATACAAACACACACACAGACAGTTGTACAGCTACCTGTGTGAGGACACTCACTGACATAATACATTCTCTAGCTCCTACCCTAATCTAAACCACCACAATTAATAGTCAAACTCCAACCTTTACCCTATCCCTACTTCTAACTTTAATCATAAAACAGTCTTAACATTAAATAAATGACTTAGTATAATATTTTCTAAGATGTGGGTGGGGCCAACTGTGTTTCAGTGGGCAGAGCAGTCGTCTCCCAACTGGAGAGTTTGTGGTTTGAATCACAGTGCCTGCAGTCCGCATGTCGAAGTGTCCTTGGGCAAGACACTGAACCCCCAAGTTGCCGTTGATGGTTAGAGCCATTGGTTGAGTTGGCGCCGCAGATGGCTGCCATTGGTTCTGTACCGGAAACAAATTCCTTGTGTGTGTAACTTGTTCAAATGAAGGTGATTATCGTTATTATGTGTGAGCCAAATAAAATGATGAAACCTCCCAAAAGAGTGAGTGCTTATAATTGTTATTAGGGATGTAAGGATGAGTTTGAAGTGTTTTAAGAAATCAGAAAAACTCTTAGGTGTCATCATTGCTGATCACAAAATTCATCTTTATTTCTGACTATATTTCTTGTCACAACAGCACAACATTTAAATAAAATGAATGGTAAATGATGATATCCTAACTTGTTCACTGAAGGTGGTGGTCACCTTAGAGCTTGACTGACTGTACTGAGTCACTTGATGCAGATCAGACAGCAGTGATCTGACCATTACATGGTCCTTTGTCTGTTTGGAAAGCTGATCGCCAGTTAGTAATGCTTCAGATCCTGCTTCTAATTCTGTTTCAGCTGTTGTTGTTAAAATGTATTTAGATGATTTACTTTTATAAAAGTCTGTACTTCATTTCTAGCTTCCAAATTGTGGCTTTGTTTCAGTAGGCTAATGCATTTAAGCATAATAAAAAGTTATATCTTTTACTCAGGACAAAGTGGATGCTGGACTGCCAACTGCTATAGTGAGTATCGGTTTATTCAATTATGATTTGAACTGAACAGAGATAATATTAGTTTTCTGACATGCACACATGATGTATTTTAGAAATTTCATGATTTCACTATGCACTAAGGATATAGGAAATAATTTGAAGTTGAAATGTGCTGCTTTTGGAATTTTGCCATTTTTAGCTGATGATAGTAAACCTGACAGATGGGAAATGAGGAGGGAGAGAGGGGAATGAGGGGTATCAGTCTGGGGGATGTTGTAAGTATGGGCTGTAACCTATTCAGTGTTTCTGAACTAATTTAAATTGCTATGAATTTTTTTTTATCATCTGCAAACAATACTGTTAAAGGTTTTACAGAACAGAAAGAAAAGTCGAACATAAACTGCCAGTCCACATTATTAGGTGCACCTGTACAGTACTGCTTACCTGACTGGCTATCTCCTCACCAATCTGGAGATCTCATCTAGTAGTTTAGAATAGCTGAAAGTGTTCATGTTTTGAAATGCAACCTTCCTCCTTAGATCAGAACTTTTTTCAAGCTGGTTATTATTATTATTATTATGCTGCAACTTAATTGTCATTATATCCAATTTATTTATTCTAGTTTAGTCGGTTAGAAATATGCTATATAAATATGATTGACTGATTATGAAAGAACACAATGTGTTTACCGTAGCAGTTTGTCTTTTCTGTCTTACCACTTAGTAGTGTTTTGCTTGCTACTGATACGCTCACTGACTGTCTTGTGACTGGATAAGGTGCAGCAACTGAAGGACCCACACAGCTCTGTCGAGCTGGCCACGCCACACCTGTTAAAAAATCTCATAGAAATAAAGCCTGTTACGAGTTGTCAGTGTGACGATTCGCTGTGGCTACCCCTAAACGGGAGAAGCCGAAAGTGACTTTCTTTATTATTTTAATATGACGCACTTCACGGTCCGGATAGAAATGTCTTTGGGTCTGGATTTGAGTCTGCCAGTTTGTGACCGCTGCCCTATAATGTGGATTTTACACTGTTTTATATTCAGGCAAATAGCGGTGTTGCTCACTTGTTAGATGCAGAAAAAATGAAGTTCCCATGATTCTGAGAAGCCTTTTATGCAACATTGGTATTTATCTGATGTAAATTAATCATCATGAATTGAATCATATTTAAATGATTCTGGACTTGGTGAATTAAAATTTAATCACATCGAGATGTCAATGTCAACATCAGAACAGTAAGAACAGTCAGATATTCCAATACAAAAGTAGGCCAGTTCCAGGTGAATAGGCAAGAGGCAATGTCCAAAAACCAAATGGAGATCCAGAACAGAAAGGTAATCTAAACAGGTTGAAGCATGGGAAAAGTGGAAAAAGGTGGCTGGATGGCTGGAACGCTGTGACAGTAACAATAGGCAAGGCACTAGGGAAAACTTTAAAAGAGGCTGAAGAGGGAAGTGTAAACAGGTCAGCAGGGCAGAATCAGGTGAGTAGGAACAGGGGGGGAGTCTGGGTACCAATGGTGGCATAAGGACATCTGTTTTTCATTGTGAGAGTGCTGGTAGAAACAAAATGTTTTCTGGTGTTTTGTCCTGTTTTGCCTTCCTTTGACTTTCACTGACTTTTTCCGATCAATTCTAAGCTATATATTTTTTGTGTTCAGACAATGGCAGGTGTGATTGCTGTGGGAACATCTCATGGTCTGGCTCTGGTCTTTGGTGAGTCTAAAATCTGATTTGAAGGATATTTTCACATTATGAATGTTTACAGTGCAAATACAACACAAACATTCAGACTTAGCCCATTAATTGTATTGTAGGTACAATACCAAGCCCTGGAGCACTAATATAAATGTTGGTGCACCTGGTGTCTGCAGATCAGTCTAATAAAATCTGATTCATAAATAATTAGCCACAAATTTTGGAGTTTTAATTAATAATTACAATTATGAAGTAAATGCAAAAAAATCTAGTAAAATTATTAGCTTTTAAATTTCGTTATGATTATATTGCAGCCAGATTTATAACAACACTAGGATAGTAATGTAATAAAGGTAAATGGAATACTGTGATGGCAGAAGCTGGCTTCAGATGATGATGGAGCAAAAACCACCATAAACAGCACTCATTAAAATACAGGGTTATTCAAAAAGAATGAACCGATTTCATTACGCAATATTTTATTAAAGACTCACAATCAACTTTTATTTCCTGTCTTACAAGTGTTCAATGTGGCCACCACCTGCAGCACAGGCAACATCAATGCGATAAGAGAATTCCTCCCAGGCGTGTATTAGCATATCACAATCCACTGAGTTGATTGCTGTTGTTGTGGCCACATTGAACACTTGTAGGACAGGAAATAAAAGTTGATTGTGAGTAGAATACTTGTGACTTGGCTGCAGGTTTGTATTACTTTTCCTTAATAAAATATTGCGTAATGAAATTGGTGCATTCTTTTTGAATAACCCTGTATAACAAGGTTTATGTTAATCTAAGGCATCAACTTACAAGCAATACAGTCAATCCTATATGAGTACAACAAACACAAGCCACAAAAAGATAACATGGAGCTATATACGAAATGTGTGTGGGTGCCTGGGGACGGAAACACATTCACACTGCAGGTGTGGTCCCCATCATGTAAATCACTGAAGTTTAGGGTGACAACTTGGTTTAATGTTAGGTTAAGGTTAAGGTTAATTTAATAAGTTACATAAATCCATTGTGGATCCCCCACTATGTGAAATTGTACCAGGCATGAATTCATTAGCAAAAAATATAGCAAAGTTTGTAGACTTTCATATTCAGCCTCTAGGTAAGAATTTACCATTATACACTGCTCAAAAAATAAAGGGAACACAAGGGAAAATAAGACATTCAACTATGTAATGAACAAGGTATTTAATAAGAAGATTTCATTCATTCAGATCTAGGATGTCTTATGTCGTGTTCCCTTTATTTTTTTTAGCAGTATCCTTTAAAGACACATTAGATTTTTTAAAATTAAGATAAACTCCTTCCAAAGTATAGTTGATCAGGATTGGCTTGTTACTTTGTCATATCATTATACACAGATGTGTGCCACAGCTGGAATTGACCAGTGAGCTGAAATGAATACACCTAATGAATATCATTTCTTACCAAAAGCTATTTCTTGTTCAGTAATGATTATTATGACTAGCAATGGTTCAGCAATGGGATCACTGTCAGCCTGTGTTGTCTTTTTATGGGTAAATTTGAACATGATTTCATGACTAACAATATACACAGGAAATACCTAAATTACTATGTTAGATTTTTGTGGCTGATTGCCTCCTCGTTTGGAAGGGTACAGAAACATTATTGGATGAGATTATCTTATTTAAATACAAGACTGGACAGTATATCCTTCAGTATGGAAAAGAGTCAAGATTCTAATCAATTATTTAGATGTGACATTGTGTAAGACACCTCGGAAAGTAACTTCAACAATATTTAGGAAACCAACTGAGAAATATATAACCTGTAACTCCTGCAGTGTGATTTTATTTTGTCCGTGTGAAATGATTTATGCTGGAAACACAGCAACAAAATCGAGAATCCAATGTGAATGAACATAGAAGCTCCATTAAGAGAAATGATGTCAGTTCACCAGTAGTGCACCAATTTATGGAAAAGAACCATAGAGAAAAAGATCTCAGGTGCATTGGTACTGATGTAACGTAGCCTACTCTGCCGTAGCATCAATTCTACAACCGGTGTGTCGGCATTGCTCGATAAAAACACTGTTTAACATCCAGTACTAATGAAAATGCATGGTGTGTCATTATGGTACATTAACTGTGGCCCAAATTTGACAGTGAATAGCAATGAATGCTCATGCTAACAAGGTAAAGAATCAGAATCAGAATCAGCTTTATTGGCCAGGTGTGTTGGACACACGAGGAATTTGACTCAGGTACATCGGCTCTCAATATGCAAACAGCAAACCAGCATAAGGCTGTGTAATATAACAAAAATAAGCAGTATTTACAAGCAACAGAAAGTGCAAACAATGCAGAATAAGCAGTATGTACAGACGGTAACAATGCAGACAACAAAGTAATGTTCTTTGTAATGAGATAAGTAGGGATAAAATAGAGTAATTAAAACAGAGTACTAGAGACCTGTACGAGTCTGTATAATCTGTACAATGTATATATTTACAGGTATTGCACTGAGGTTTATTGTCCAATCATATGGTCATTGGTTAAGTGTTCATCAGAGTGACAGCCAGGGGGAAGAAACTGTCTCTGTGCCTGGTTGTCTTAGTGCACAGTGACCTGTAACGCTGTCCAGAGGGGAGGAGTTCAAATAGATTGTATCCTGGGTGTGAGGGGTCTGCAGTGATCCTCTCCACCCTCCTGACCCGTGAGGTGTACAGGTCCTCCATGGAGGGCAGGCTCACACCAATGACCTTTTCTGCAGTCCTGACTGTCCACTGAAGTCTGTACTTGTCCTGTTTGGTTGCTGAACCAAACCAGACAGTGATGGAGGTGCAGAGAACAGACTC